TCACAGGTTCTCCATCTCTGACATAAAACCAGCGGCGTCGCGTGGGTTGTCAGCACCCGGGTCAAGGCAAGTAATTTGCGCCCCCTAACCCGTGGATTTGCGCCCCCTAACCTGTGGATTTGCGCCCCCTAACCCCCAGATGTTGCGCCCGGTGCGGCCGGCCCCCCCTGCACCCCCCACGCTACGCCACTGCATAAAACACAACGCAGGTTATTTTGTGGGGTGAGTTAGTTATGAGCAGGGCTTTTATTCAGCCGGAACTCACCGGAACTCAGTTCAGGCACCTCTCAGGTGGGGCGCCATTGCCATTATAAGAGAATAAGGGAGGCATTCATGGTGAGTTCTGGCACTGCTTTGTCTAGAAAAATAGCACTGGTTATGACACTTATAAACTTTCATTTGCTCAAAGGTTCCAGGGCAAGTTACAAACAATTTTAAAAAAATCTATATGAAAGCATGCAATCTAAAATAAGAATAAAAATCTTACTAAATGCAGCAGCAGCAGCATGATATAGTAGAGGGAGGAGCACCAGCTAAAAATATCTCACCTCACCCCTTCACAAGCCTGAGCAAATATCATATGTCATCTGATTTTTACCTTTGCTAGTTTTCCCCCAAACCTCAAAATGTACCCTTCAAATGGCTTATCTAAAAGAAGAAAACAGGAAGGAAGGACACACACAAACACATGCAAAAGATGGTAATTACTGATTTGCAGTTTTCTAGTGAACTGTGAGCTAAGCGAGCAATGCCTTTAACAAAGGACACATTTTTAATAGATTAAAAAGTAGGACACTGGGCAGATATGCAGAGCTTTGGGGCCCATTTTGGCTTTGCTTTAATGTCTGCAGCCTTCACACAGAATATGACTTAAGCTGACTGTGTCAGCTCTGGTCCGTTTTCAAAGCCTCTCACGTGCTCTCCTTTCCTGGTCAGTACAGGTAAGAGGCTGCAATGATGTCCCAAAATAGGAGAGCTGGTGATGAAGGCTCATACTGCAAAGGCAGAAACTCCTATAAAACAAAATTCTCCTATTGTGGAAAAAGTATGCTTGGCTGACTGCTGCCTCACCAGGAAAGGGTGGTCGCAACCCTGAGTCAGCTTCAGGTTCTCATATCAGTATAAACAGTAGCATCAGGTGCCAGAGAAACTGTAATAATAAAAGCAGGACGGGTTGGGTGTTTCTCCCCCCACTTTTTTGTGAGTGTCTTTTTCCACATGTCCCTGGTAAGATTGCCAGACAAGAAGAAAAAAATTCTGGCAGTCATTGTGGCTGTGAAGTAAATAAATATGGTCAATCAGACCTTAGAATAATTCGTCGGCACTACCAATGGAAATAATTTTGGATACAGTCTACCAAGTAGAGCTCCTTCCCAAAATCCACTGAAATGCAGCACAATTTTGTGGGATCTGTGGGAAGCTGTTCTGCCTCATTCTACAGTTCCTCTTTATCCAGGCTTAGAACATGCGAGCCTAGGAAAATGCATAATCCCCCCCAAAAGTCTATTGCTCCGTGTGTGTTTCACAACTACCCTGCCATGATGCTTTTCAGCATTTTTTATTTGCATTGCCTTTCAGATATCCAAAATGTGAAAATAAATATTGCACCTGAAAAATATCAGCAGTAGACAACTACAGTGTGGTGTCCATGCTTCAACACCTGCCCTGGCTGCTACCTTGTTTCTGGGCACAATTCACTGTGCTGGCTATGACTCAGAATACAATGCATGATTTGGGATTGGTTTACCCGAAAGACCATGCTCTTTCATTTGAGTCTGTATGCCCCAACATCTGAAGCATGTTAGGTAGGTGCCTGAGACAGGGCCTTCTCAGTGGCTGCTCCCACACTCTGGAGCTCCTTGCCAAGACAGGCCCATCTAGCCTCATCCCTGATAATAATCTACTAGCAAGTGAATGCATTTTTATTCAGTGAGACTTTTGGTCTCATGTTTGGATTACTGTAAATGTTGCCATTTGATCACCTGACTGTTCTTATTGGCTTTGTTAATGTTTTGCCTGTTTTTATGTTTTCATTTTTACTTTGTATTTTACTGTTAGCTGCCTTGAGCATCATTTGCTTAAAATATGGGGTGCAAATTTAATAAATAATTGTGTGGCCATTGCTCTAGAACCTTTGGCCTTCCAAACGCTACTGCCATCATTACTGGTCATTGGACGTGCTAGATAGGGCTGGACTCTTAACATCAGTAGAAATACTTGAAACAGTCATCTTAAAATATCAACACAGATAAGGGCAAAAAGAGCAACTGCTATAGAATTCATACTCTTCATTTATAATTCTTTGGCCATTCACAGCAGATCTAAGGCTCTGCATTCAGTTGTTGTTTTCAGAAAAGTAAAGACCAGAAAAGAACTTTTTTAGTCTTGGAATATTGGTAACTGTAGTTTCATGAGTGGAATGAACACGAGTCCCCTTCATACAGCTAGATTTTAGAACAGAAGCAGTAAGGAAATCATCACAGTTCTAGCACACATGTGGTAAAGCATGTTAAGGATGATTTCTTTTTTAAAGGCCTAGGTGAATTCCAAGCATTTGCTATCTGTCTAGCTGTTTGGGGTTTCTTTCTATTAAGATCGAATAATCACTCAAAACTGGGTACAGAAGAATGCTTGGATCACAAGAAAAAATGCTGGAAGATTCCAATGAAAGTGGAAACAGGAACAAGAACTGCTGATGCTCATTTATTTGTCCCATCTCCAGAAATCAATCCAGCGAATCAGATCAGTATTCACTATTGTTGCTGCTTTCAGTCAGCAAATGATACAGTTTCCACCCATTTGCATTGCGTCTCCTTTGTATGGAAATGAATGGGGTGGAATAAAGCAATGTCAATGTAATTATGCAATTTCACCAACAGTGGAAAGACAAATAATGTAGTTTGGGGCAGAAGACAAACTGCTGCGGAGGGCATGCAACAAATAAGCAAAATAGAAAATGGTGCCTTCTTACACCCCTGATCACAAGAGACCTGTTCTCATTGAGATAGTAAACCACTGTCTTGGCTGTACTGTTTCAGTTTGTAGGTGAGGGCTTGGCTTGTATGTCTGAATGTTCGTACATACAAATAAATAAATATCCTCCCACAAAATAAATCTTTCAGCCTCAAGGATTTAAACGCAAAATAAATATGGGAAAGCATTTAACCACATGAACCACCACCTGCAGTCTGAAATGGTACAGACCAGACACATCAGCATTGCTTCTCACCTCTGAGGCAGAGTGCATTTGGCACCAGTTTTCTAACCTGCTGTTAGCCAGTTAACCTGTGTCTGAGATACCCTCAGTGTGAGAAATGAGTAGAGAACAGAAACCTTGTTTGCTGTTGCTACAATCAAGGGATCCTATTCCCCTTCAGTTGTGGGGAGCACCTTCCTGCAGGCAGTACATGAAGGGGCTTTTCACAGTTAAAATTCTAACAAATGTTTTTTGTTTTTCTTTTTAAATATTTTTTTTAATTAAAGATTTTCTTTTCTGTGAAGTCAAGTGATGTGGCCCTATTGAATGAATAGAATTAACAACAGCCCTCAAAACTGTTTTGAGTTGTGCTCTCCTGGAAGCACATTGTATAAGCAATCTTATTGAAATACACACATATCCAGAAAAGTAGGCAAAAAGTCATGTATGTAACACTACATAACCCCGGATATTAGATTTATTAAGACCCCAGAAGTTTGGGATGAAGCACATAAGGCTTCCTTTCCATTTATCTCCATTTGACAAAGTTCCTCTTGATTCTGGAGCTTCAGCTAAAACCTTTCCATGTTGCTACCATGCTAAGAGGAGCTTGACAGAAACTTAGCCAATCTGCACTCAACTTTGAAGTTCTCAAAATGTGGATACTTTGGGATATATGTTGTGACAATGCCATGTGCTACTCCTTAAGTGCGAACCATAGGCACATTTCTATAAAGTAAATCCCACCATCTTCCAGTAGGGCTTTCTCCTGATTAAAATGTGCCTAGGGTGGCAGCCTTTGCCTTTACTAAATGTGAAAGTGTTTTCTAAGCTGCAGGAAAATATAATTTGAACCATTTCACATTATCTTTGGTCATAATTTCCCACTGGGTCTCCCTGGAAAGTGGAATCTGGCTTGCTCCTCACAAAACTGGGCAACCCTCCTTCACTTCTACTAAAGGAAGACCTATCCTACACAGGGTGGACCTATATCTATTTATATATACAGTATTATATGTATACATCGCACTGTGCTGAATGAGATTTGTTTCCAAGTTGAAACCTGCCGTCTGGCTGCCACCCAGCGCAGTTACATGGGAGTAAACCCCGCCAAAACGAGAGGGGCTTACTTCCGAGTAAACACGCCTGAAAAGGAGCGCGTCGCACAACAAGCGCCACTTTCTTTTTCCTTCCTCTTTTTTTTCCCCCCTCCGCCAAACGCGGGGATAGCAAGCACAGGAAGGGTCGAGCAAAGCAAAAGAGCAAGAAAAGTATTGGTAGGTAAATGGAGGGTGGAAGAGAGAAAGCGAGCGAGCAAGCCAGCCGCCGTGGCCAAAAGGGGGGGATTGCGAAAAGCAGGAGACTGAGGCGGCGGCGGCGGCGAAAAGGAGGGCCTTGTTCGGGGCTGCAGTTGCCGCTCTCAGTCAACAGGTTGCACCGTTCCCCCTCGGCTGCCCCGCAATGCGCGCGCTCTCCCTCCCTGGACACGCGCTCTCTGCTATGCTGCGCCCGCGAGCGGCCGGGCGGGCGCGAGCGCCGCTTCCCTTTCGTCTCTCTCGCTCGCGCTCTTTGCATGTCTGCGGGGCGGGGGAGGGGGAGGGGACGGAGGGAGCGAGCGAGCGAGGGAGAGAGAAGGGGGAGGAGGCAGCAGCCTCTGCTGCTAGCGCCGCCGTCCTCCATTTTGTGGCTGGGGCAAAGCCGTAGAGGGGAGCGCGGACGGTGCGGCGGCTGGGAGGAGAGGAGGGGAAGGGAGGAGAAGGAGAAGGGGGAGGGCGGGACGCTGGGTGGGTGTGAAGTGCAGAAGGGGGAAGGCGGGGATGCAGAGGGGGCAGAGGCTGGAGGAGAGGCAGCGGGGCGCGCCAAGTGGGGCTTTAATTAATTGAGGGGGGACAGGAGAGTGTGTGTGTGACAGACAGACAGACAGACAGAGAAGGGGGGAAGAAGAGGAGCAGGTGAGGGGGCCGCCTCTGCTGCTGCTTCTGGCGCCTGTGTAGGGCGAAGGGCGGGGGGCGGCTGCATTCTCATCTGCAAAGGGGCGGCAGCTTTCGCCGCCGCCCCACACCCAATCCCGTCGCCCCGTAACTCTCCTTCCTTCCAGTCTCTCTCCCCCCCCCCAACCTCCGCCCCGCGCCTTCCAAGTTGTTTATTCGCTTGGCTCTGTGGTGCCGGAGCCATGGAAGTTGGCGGCTAGAGGAGTCCCAGCGCCCCCACTGGATAAGGTAAGGGGTGGCTTCTTCTCCATGTCCGTCTGCCTGGCTGGCTGTCGAGACGCGGCGGGGGCGGGTGGGGGCCGAGGAATGGCTTCTACTTTTAGGATTCTCGAAGGGAGGCGGAGGGCGACGGAGGGAGGGAGAAGGCGGCGGCGGCCTGCTCCCCCCCGTAGAGGTCACCCCCCTCCGTCCCTTCCTCAGTAATGTCTGCCCGTTTCGGCTTCTCCTTACCGCCCCCCCCCTCCTTCGACCCGCTTCCCACTGCCGTTAAGACCAGGCGATTTGTTGCTGAGGCGTGAGGCCAGATATTTTTTTTGGGGGGGGGGTTGGAGAGAGCTGAGGAAAGGAAGATTTTGGTGGGGGGGGGGAGAAGCGCTGCTCCTCGTCTCAACTTTAAAGTCGTCCACGTTAAATTTGGACGTCAGAGAAGGGGTGTGCGTGCGTGTGTATGTGTGTCTCCCTCTCGCACACACAATATGCGTGTGCGTGCGTGGGATGGGAGGAGGGGGGGTGCGGAAACTGGTTCGCTATCCTATTTCACAACCTTCTCTGGCCAATTTCAATCCCAAAAGGACGATATGCCCAATATAGTATCTCTTTTCTGAGAAATGAAATTTTGTTTAATGATAAAAAGTGCTATAATTTATTGCCCTCCTCGCCCAACTTGCTTCCAGTTGATTTGTGTGTGTATGTTAAAAATGAACATCTGTTGTTGAGAATTGGGTTTTGGGGTTTTTTTTTAATTTTGAAAGGCGCTCAAAACCCCACCACCACCGTCGTGGTTTTTTGTTTTTTGTTTAGTTGACGGGGCCCCAAGGGTTTGGAAACCAAGAAGTCGTCGAAAACTCGGAGTTGGAGTTTTTGAAGCAAAGGGCTGGTGGGCGTGCCAGGCAAAATGCTCAACAGGTCCCAACACATTTTTCTTTTCTTTTCGAAATCTGCTTTTTGAAAGGGAGAATTTCAACTCAGAAAGAAGGTGCTTAGGTATATTTCCTCGGGGGCGGAGAGGAGCTGTATCGTGATAGATTTTCCCCCTTTGGCGTTGCCTATCATTTAATGGCTTTTGCGTCTGTGCAAGAGAAACCTGTGAAAATGTGGTAACTCCAGTTGTTCCCCTTGTCCTTCCCTTTCCCCCCTCAAAACTATGCAACTGTGTGCTTTTTTTAATTACATGATGGCCTTTTTTTTTTTTAAGTCTCATGCAACTTTTGACAAGAGTAGGCTGTTTCTCTTTTGCATTATGCCATTTTTTTTTTGGCTTGGGGAGAGCTGTTAGGAAAGCTTCCTATCCTTTTAGCACCTTTTACAGCTTTCAGTGTTTGGGGGAAATCTATGCAATGCCCTGAAAAGGAGAACTTAAAAGAAACTAAATACACATTGTTATATTTCTCTGTTACTTTAAGAGTAAACTTTTTTCCATGTTGGCTTCAATGTCCTTTTGACACCTGGTCATTTTTGTCCTAATTTGACCTCCTGATCAATTATTGATGGGAATGCAATTATTTCTACACAAGCATCAGCAGTTTTTAGATACATCAACATATGCCGACTTTAGCTTTTTCTCCATGCAAGTTGGTACAAGATATGGAAGGTTTAAAATTTAAAAGGAAACTGTCTGTCTCATTTCTTGTAAGGATTTCACTACTAATGGGTTACTTTTTATTTTACGTTCTCCGGGAATAATATGAAATGTAGAGGATTAAATGTGTGTGTTCTTCTCCACACACTTATTTTTAAATATACATGTCTACATTTTACAATCTACTATTTGAAACTGACCATGGCCTTGGACTAAAGTGGAACAATATATTTCTAAAATTGTATTTTTACAAAAACCTGGGTAAAGTTGGGGGGGGGGGGAGAGAGAGATTTGGAAAGTCACTGGTATCACCTGGGAATTTCCCCCCTAGGCAAAGTTGGTACATTAGGCAGTATTGAAAAACCTGGGTTGGTGTGTTAAGTGAATGGGAATGGAAGTTGTCACATAGATTTTTTGCAAGTATGTATGCAGTAGTAAACAATATTTATTGCATCAGGGACAAATATTACTGGTGTGTTCCGGTTGTGATGAGTTGATGTTATTTTTATTAGTTTAATATGCTTTTACTATAACCTATATTGGGAAAAGCTTGGAAAAATTCCAGCCCTTTGGATGGATTGGGTTAGAAATTCATTCCAGTATTGGAAAGTGTTAATCTAATGTCTACCGTTTTCTTGAATATGTGTCTGTTCTTTCAGTGTTGGAGCTTCAAGGGCTTTGGATTTGCACTATTCAAGTTTTATGCTAATGGTGAATATTTCTCTTTCTTTATAACCAGTATTAAAATAATGGAGCCCAAAGAATCACTGAAGTCCTCTGGAGGGGAGGAAGCAGGGAAAAGTGCTCACTTCCGTGACAAAGGAGGAATTGTGATGGACTTCCATCCATCCTTTAGGGGAGGAGCTACTGCCAAGACTCCTGCAGCTACGTCTCCCTTGCCTACCCCTTCTCAGTCTGATTCCAAGCAACCGCCTGCTGTGTCTGACTTGTCAAAGGGATTGGGAAGCAATGTGCCGCAGCCAGATCTGTCTAAAGCAGTGTCGCTCTCCATGGGACTGTATATGGGGGAGACAGAGGCAAAAGTGATGGGAAACGAACTTGGATTTCCTCAGCAGGGCCAAATCAGTCTCTCTTCGGCAGAAACGGATTTTAGGCTCCTGGAAGAAAGCATTGCAAGTTTGAATAAATCCTCTAGTCAGGCAGAAGGCTCAAAGGGTACTGCATCTGTGGATGTGCCTCTAGAACAAGAGTTCCCAAGCATGGCTAGTCATGATCTCACTTTAGGGCAAGGGGCTTTAGCGCAAAGCCAGGTTGGCACTAATGGTGGCAACTTGAAGCTGTTTCCTGAAGACCAAAGCACCTTTGATATTTTGCAGGATTTTGATTTGCCACCAGTGTCTCCAGGAAAAGAAACAAATGGGAGCCCTTGGAGAATGGACCCCATACTGGATGACAGCAGCTTGCTTTCACCTCTTGGTGATGAGAGTTTTATCCTGGAGGGAACTGAAATGGAGGACTGTAAGCCTCCGATTTTACCAGATACTAAGCCTAAAATTAATGAGTGTGGGGATCTGTTGCACAGCTCCACAGTGAAGTTGCCACAAGTGAAGACTGAAAAAGAAGATTTTATTGAACTGTGCACCCCTGGGGTAATAAAGCAAGAGAAAATAGGCACAGTTTATTGTCAGGCTAACTTCTCTGGGTCAAATATGCTTGGAAGTAAGACATCTGCTATTTCGGTTCATGGTGTCAGCACGTCTGGAGGACAAATCTACCACTATGACTTGAACACAGCACCTGTCACTCAACAGCAGGATCAGAAACCAGTTTTCAATGCCATTCCATCTCATCCTGCTGGTTCAGAAAGTTGGAATAGGTGCCAGGGATCTGGGGATGATGCTCTTACGTCAATGGGGGCTTTGAATTATTCTGGCAGACCTGTCTTCTCTAATGGGTTTGCAAGGTAAGAGATGTTTTTGTTCTAAACTTATTACAAGGATAGTTATTTCAGCAATGTTCATTTTGTCTCTTCCTGTAGTTAGAAAGAGAATAATAATTTCTCGTGCTTGTGTGCATGAATTAACACATTGCAATAAAGAAATTACTTTTATTAAATAAAACGACCATCAGCAGTAAAGGATGAATCATGATTTAAAATATATGTCAGGGAAATGTTAAAATAGGAATGTTAAGCACAAATAGATCTTAAATCCAAATAGTTCATCCAGAAGGCTTTCTACAACTAGCAGAACAGTTGGCGTTTCATTAAAATGGTGTGTTGTGCCTGCTTTGGTGTAGTAACTGCAGCCTACGAAACTTTCAGCTCTAGTGTTCAAAGTAGGATTCCCCTCTGCCTTCCCCTTGATCAACAGTATTTAAAAGAGAAAAGATAATACATTATGTTTCAATCTACATTTTGGTTACCATTGAGATATGAATCATAGGAAGACTTTATTCTGTTGATAAAAAAACGTGGAGTAGTCTTTCTTAATAATGATAAATGTGGAAAATATTTGGAGCAGAAGTTTTTTAAAAGTATGTTTTCATTCCAAGTCTGTATGAACAGAAAATTTATCCAGAACCTAGAAATGTGAAATGTGGTGATAGCAACTTACATTTTTTTCATTGTTGCCTCTCTCACTTTTATTTTAAACTTTCATTTGTGCTTTTGTTTCAAGTGATTTAAAGCCTGCACCTTGCTTAAAAAAATTATCCTACGTATTGAAATTGCCTTAAGGCTTATCTGAAAATCTTGATTTGTTCTGCATACATACTTAACAAAATGGTATACAGGTTTTTATTTTGCATTGATCTGGGACTTCCCTTATTACACCTGGATGTGCATATGCTGGTTTGCATGGAGCGGTAAGACATTCTAGGAATTTTGGGGCATGCACCAAGCTCCTGTTCCTTATAATGTCCTATTTTCATTCTTGCCCATCGATTCATGCTGCAGGGATGGATAGGGAATCTCATTGCTCATGGGAATCTCATTGTGAACACCATACTGTACCCCTTCACATGGAATGTTTGCAACTAGTATGTTTTGTTTTATGATATTATAATGAGCAACAGTTTGTACTGCATGTTTTTGGAACATTTTTGAGGAATTTCTGCTGAAGAAGAGGGGACTTGTTGCTAGGCTGCTTTTTATCATCAAGTTACTTATACAGTTACTACAGTAAATGTCACTCAAGAAACACGGTGAGAAACTCATGAGACTTAAATACTGTAGATACTGTGATTTGAGTTATTCCTTTTGATAAGAATATGGGGGGGGGAGAATTAGATATATTTTTCCAATATATTTTAACATGAATGCAATGTAAAATCTATAAAATATGCATTAAATGGTAAACTTGTACCTAGGAGTTCGGGGGGGGGGTGTTTAGTGGTAATATTTATCCAACTGATGGCATTGCCTGGCATGTCTGAAATTATTGCTTGTGAAATACTATACTTTGAAATATGAAAGGTAATGATTGCGGACTCCTTTTTTATGCCATCCCAATCTATTTCTGATATTTAATTTAAACCGTGTATTTAGAAGTTGCTTTTATTTCAGATTGTTCTGCAGTTTATTTATAGGAAAGCAGCACTAATATATACATAGTTCAAGCAACAAATACGTTTTTCAGAAAATGCTAAACTGCTTGTGCAAGCTCCTCAGGTCTCCATAGCGCTCCTTCTTCCTTCCTTCCTTTCCTGCGTGGAATAGGAAATGAACCAGAGACTGGCTTATATATGTGAACCAGCACTCATTGTTTGTTTCTCTCCTAACAAACCATGATAGTGATTCAAGTATGAACATTGGTTCACCATCAGTTTGCTAGGAAAAAAGTGTACGTAATGACAGCTCAGCCTCTAGTTTCCTCTTCCACGTGGTGGTGGAGCACCATGGTACTTTTGAGCAGCGTACACCAGCACACTACATGCTTGCTTCAATCCTAATGATTTAAAGTGACATGCAAACCAGGCCAAAGATCCTCATGGCACTTTAAAGGCTGACTAATTTAGGACGGCAGGAGAGTTTCTAGGCTGGAATATATTTCATCATCCAGAAACTTTGTGACTAGGATTTGCTCATGACATGGCCATCTAACTCAGATAAAATTGACATAGCTAACAATATTTATACTTTTTAATGCTGCACAGCTGAACTCTTGTCTAATACAACCTTTAGAACAAAGTGAAAATTAATTATGTAAAATTATGAAAATGATTCTTTTGTAGGACATTGTTGAAACAGTGAATGTACTTGATTGGTTGACATTTATTCCAATTAGTAGTTTATTCCAATTGGTAGAAGAACTAAAGAGCTCTACAAAATCAATATCAGTGTTATGATGAATAACTTGTTTTTCAAGTGGGACATGCCTATTGAGCTCGTAACTCATAATTTCAAGTTTTTCAGCATGATACAGTTGCAATCCTAGTCCTAATTACCTGGGAATAAATCACATTAAATTTAATAGAATATCCTTTTGAGTATAGGCTTACATGGTTAGGAATATAGTCTACTGGAGTGGCAGTCTTTAACTAATTGCTCACACATTTTCATTGGCAAGGCTGTAAGTTAAGGGCACAGTTTGATTTGATATTTGGTGGAGAGCTATTTTGTTTGTGTGATAATACTCTATTAGGAAATTTAAAAAGAAAATATTAAATATGGTTTTATTCCTAAGAGCTTACAGAGTATTTTATTGGTTTAAATGTAAACACTTCAGACATCATGCCAACCCCTCATTAAGGATGCTGTAGTTATGGTTTGGTGCGATGTCCAGATTAACAACTGTTTTAACAGTAAGCCTGCCTTTAAAGGCAGTTCCACCACAGAAAAGAGACACTAAGCAAATGGAAAGAGAAAACCTATAGTAGCTCTAGACCAGGGGTAGCCAACATGAAGCCTTGCAGATGTTGCAGGAGTTGAACTTCCATTATGCTAGACCATTCACCACGCTGACTGGGACTAATGGAAGTAAGGAGTCCCAACAATATCTGAAAGGCACCAGTTGGGTACTGCTAATTTAGACTAAGCTGTGGCCTTCATTTTAAACAACAGTTGCTGCAAACAGTGGTTTAGCATCTTTTTAAACTGAATTTCAGCAGAAATATGAATGCCTAGGGGGCAATAGAGGGGCTGTTATTTTCCAGTTTCCCATCTTTCCTATTCTGAAGTGTCTCAGGTTTAAGTAATTGTATTTCATCTCTGTGTGTATGGTTGCAAGGATGATAGTAAAGGTTTTAGTCTGTTGAAATGGGAAAGCCATATGGTAGGATTACAAACCAAATAAAAAACCATGGCTTGCAAAATAATGGCAAAATTTAGTTTGTACTAAAGGGGAAGCAAATAATTGAAATGAGGAAAGAATAAGCCTTCAAATGATGGATTGACATTGTGCGTGAATGAGGTTCTGCAGCAAGGATAATGCTCTCCAGAGTTTGTTGGAGTACAGTTCTCATCACCTGGAGTAAGGATGGCTAGTAGTCAGAGATGATAGAAGTTATAGTTCATATGAACACCACAGATTCCCCATTTCTGATCTATACAGCAAATACTAATGATTGTATATGCATTTTGGAACATACCTAGGCCAGTCTGCTGAAAGAATAAACCAGTATCATTGTGGAAGTACATAGCTAATTTGTCTATTATTAAATATACTTTTTTAAAATTTCAAATACAGCTTTCATTTTAAAAGATTTCTGAAGGTACTCCCAACTTGCTAATTGCTAGTTGTGTAGATTTCTGCCACATGTGATGTATTATTTAGACTTCGCATTTCATGATTTGATATCTGCTCTTATATCTCGCCTGCTTCTCCATGTATTGTTTAATTTTTAAAAAATAGTTATTCTAGTCTGTCATTATGCTTCTCACTTCCTATCCAAGCACATCTGATTTCTCTTGTAAAAGTCACTTTGACAGATTCATTTTGGAGCCCTTGTGAAACCTGATCAGATGTGGCTGGGGAAACTCAGCCAGATGGGCAGGGTATAAATAATAAATTATTAAATTATTATTATGCATGCTTTCTCAGAAGTAAGACTGGGCCAGTTCAGGCAGAAACAAACCGCAACAACCCTTAGGGTCTCACACTCTCTCTTGTCTCTTTCAGTGCAGGTGCGATGAGACTGAGCGCTGCAGTATGTTTTTTTGATTAACTGAAGTTTAATATTCAGTTTAAACCCTAAAATGTGTTTTAGACTATGGTTAAAAACTATGGTTAATCTTAACCTAATGTCTGACATTGACTTGTTTCATACAAACCATAGTTTCATCATGTTGGTTTTGCACAAAACAACAAATAGTTAATTAAAACTGGGACACAAGCTTCCAGTGCCCTCTTTGCAGGTGTACAGAAGGGGGAGGAAACATGCATGAGCCTGAGAGTTGCTGGAGCTTTTCCTACCACGATACACATCTTACTGAATTAAGTCTTGCTCCTAAATAAAAGTGCAGCCATAACTAAATCTAAATGAAGACTCTTGTGGCACCTTAAAGCCTATATATATATATATTTATTTATTTCATGGACTGTGTGCAACCCATGTTGCTCCATGGCATGATAAAGCCTGAAGTGGGCTGTATAGAACACTCAAATTCAAGATGCATTTCCATTCCAGTGTCATTCAGATGTTTAACCACAACTTCCATCAGCCCCAGTAGTTGTTAATAATAATAATAATAATAATAATAATAATAATAATAATAATAATGATAATTTATTTGTTGTTGTTGATATTCCCCGACCATCTGGCTGGGTTTTCCCAGCCACTCTGGGCGGCTAAATAACTGAAGAGCACCAGGGTTGGGAGAAGAATACAGTGGTGCCTCGCAAGACGAAAAGAATCCGTTCCGCGATTCTTTTCTTCTAGCGGTTTTTTCGTCTTGCGAAGCAACCCCATTGCCGGCTAAGCGGATTAGCGCTATTAGCGATTTAGCGGCTAAGCTGTTAAAAG